AAGCACATACCTTGTTCATGGATTGGAAGAATTAACATCATTAAAATGTTCATACTGCCCAAAGCAATCTATAGATTCAATGCAATCCCCATTAAGATCCCAACGACATATTTCACAAAACTTGAACAAATACTCCAAAAGTTTATATGGTACCAAAAAAGACCCCAAAGAGCTACAGCAATCTTGAAAAAGAAGAACAAAGTAGGAAGGATCACAATTCCAAATATCAGGTTATATTACAAAGTCATTGTAATCAAATCAGCTTGATACTGACACAAGAACAGGCATACAGATAAATGGAACAAAACAGAGAACCCAGAAATTGAACCTAGTCATTATGCTAAATAAATATTTTGATAAAGGTGGCAAGAGCATACAATGATGTTGGAAAATTGGACAACTACATGTAAAAAAGGTGAAGCTAGACCACCAACTTACACTATACAGAAAAATAAACTCAAAATGGATAGAAGACTTAAATATGACCAGTGAATCTATAAAAATCCTAGAAGAAAATACAGGCAACAAAATCTCAGACATCATATGCAGAAGAATTTTTAACTGCTGCAAGGCCTAATGCAATAGAAACATAGGAAAAAATGAACACATGTGACTACATCAAACTGAAAAGCTCTGCACAGCAAAAGATATAACTATCAAAATGGAAAGGGAACCCACTATATGGGAGAGCATAACTGCTAATGATACATATAGATAAGATGCTATTTTCCAAAATATATAGCATACTCATACAACTCAACAAAAGGAAGACAAAGAACCCAATTAAAAAATGGGCAGAGGAGCTGAATAGACACCTCTCCAAAAAGGACACACAAATGACCAAGAGACATATGAAAAAATGCTCAGTGTCACTAATCATCAGAGAGATGCAAATTAAAACAACTATGAGGAATCACCTCACACCTGTCAGAATGGCCGCCATCAACAAATCATCGAACAACAAGTGTAGGTGAGGTGTAGAGAAAAGGGGACTTTAGTATACTGCTGGTGGGAATGCAGACTGGTGCAGCCGATATGGAAAACAATATGGTGTTCCCTCAAAAAATTAAAAATTGAACTTCCATTTGACCCAGTGTTCCCACTTTTAGGAATATACCCTAAGAAGCCTGAAACACATATCAGAAAGAAGATATTTACCCCCATGTTTGTAGCAGCATTATTTACAATAGCTGAGATCTGGAAACAGCCCAAATGTCCATCAATGGATGAGTGGATAAAATAGCTGTGCTACATATACACAATGAAATTTTATGCAGCAGTAAGAAAAATCTCTTATCCTTTGAGATGACATGGAAGGACCTGGAGGTTATTATGCTAAGCAAAACAAGCCAATCAGAGAAAGAGAAATATTGCATGATCTCACTTATTTGTGGAATATAATGAACAAAGCAAGCCAAGGAACAAAATAGACCTAGAGACATGGAAGTAGGGTGCAGACTGACAAACCTCAGACGAGGTGGATGTGGAGGGAAGGAAGAGATAAACCACAGAACTTGTATGCATGTATGCGTAAACAGGGACATAGACAATAATGCTGGGGGTGGGGTATGGGATTTGAAGGAGAGTGTTAATGGGGGAAAAAAGAGAAACATCTGTAACAAAAATAAATAAATAAATGAATAAATAAATAAATAAAGTGAAAAGCAACTCAGTGGTTGAAAATAATATTTTCAACAAATAGTGCTGGCACAATTTCATATCTATAGACAAAAAACCAACTATGACTTAAACCTTACACTATAAACAAAATTAACTCAAAAAGTATCACAGAGTTAAATGTGAAATATGCATCAATATGTATAGAACAGAACATAGGAAAATACTTCAGGATCTATGCTTCATAAAGAGTTCTTAGAACAGCAAAAGCACAATCTATAAATAAAAATGAACAAATTAAAAAATGCTTTATAAAAGACTATGTTAAGAGGATGAAAACACACACCACAGAGTGAGAGAACATTTACAAGCTACATATCTGAAAAAGGATTCATGTAGAACATATAATAAACTCTCAAAACTCATCATTTAGAAAAAAACATTTCTATTAGAAAATGGGCAAAAGGCACAGAGTTACCCTACTAAAGAAAATAAACAGTCTTCAAATCCAATTAAAAATGGGCAAAAGGCCCAAGGAGTCATCTCAGTAAAGAAGATATACAGATAGCAAATAAGAGCACAAAAACATGCTCACCACTATTACACATTAGGAAAATTAAAATTAAAGCCACAAAAGTATATTATTACACATCTACTATAATGGCTAAAATAAAAATATCAAATGCCGGTGAGCATGCAGTGATACTAGATATCTAATACATTGGTGGCGGGAATCTCTCATACGTTAAGCCACTCTGCAAAACAATTTTTTAGCTTCCTACAAAACTAAACATACAACTGTCATGACTCAGCAATTGTGCTCCTGGGCATTTTGTTTACAGTGAAATAAAACTACAGCTGCACAGAAATCTGTGTACCACCACTTATACATAGCACTCATTTATTTTATATAACTTTCCATGTATTAATAACCACTAATCAAATTTGTATGCCATTGATGGAAATTTGGTTTGTTTTCATTTTCAATATTTAAAATAATGCTTTAATCAATATTCGTTCAGCTTTCTCCTTGAACACATGCATGAGAATTTCCCTAGGATAGATATATAGAAGTTGATATTTGAAGAAATACCTGAAAGAAGTGAGGCAGTTGGCATGTGAATATTTGAGGGATAATGAAGCTAATACTTTACATATTATATACCATAGTTTGTTTCAAGCACTTTACTATTTGAATCCTCACAATAACCCATATTTCACAATAACTAATATTTGTGAATTTCACTAAAAAATTCTGTTGGAATTTTAATTGTCAATGGTATTATAGATGTTCCCCAATTTCTGTTGGGTCTTTTAAAATATTTTTTTATTGAGAGAGAGAGAGAGAGAGAGAGAGAGAGACATCTATGTGAAAGAGAAACATCAATTGGTTGCCTCCTGCACGCAACCTCACTGGGTATCAAACCCACAACCTGGGCATATGCCCTGACTGGGAATCAAACCCTCGACCTTTTGGTGCACAGGACACACTTAACCAACTGAGCCACACTATCCAGGGTTTCTGTTAGGGTTTTTAGTTAGAATTTATTTACATGGATTACTCTGGGGAGGATCGATATCCTTACAATATTGCATCTTGCCATCCATGAGCATGGTCTGGCTCTACATTTATTTACAGCTTCTGTTATGTTCTTCAATAATTTTGTTCACTCCTCTGCTCTCTGGTGTGTGTAAAGCAATTAATGTATTCTAGACTGTATCTTAGAAACATTTTGCAGCTTACACTGTAGTGTTGCAAATCTTATATCATGAGGAAATTTTCTCTAAAATAAAATCTATTGTAAATCCTTTATTTTTACATTTTAAAATTCTATCTATTCTTATATCCTCACTGAAAATAAAATTATTTTTAGTTTTGATGCAAATCAATTGCTTATATTTACAAAATACTTATGATTTGAAAGAAAAAAATGTAAGACACTGACCTTGCTGGACAAGGAAGTTGCTACCCTTGGTTGGAATTTCCATATTTCCCTGCTGTCATTCTTTGATATTTCTGTACACATGGTTTTTCAAGAAGCAGCCACAAAGACAAATGCAAAAGAACAGGAGAGACACATCCAGTACCCTCAGGAACTTATTTAGCAACCAGGAGAACATCAACAAGAGGAACTTGGCTACACAGGTTGGATACTTGAGGCTGATCACGCAGCTAACATAGATAGTTTAGGCCTTGCTGAGCCAATACTTTCCAGAGAAGAAAAATAATATTTTTTTTATCCCACTTTGAAGTAGCTTACAGTAAAACACATACCAAAAGTGCTTAACTGTAAATCAACTGATTATATATATATATATATATATATATATATATATACACACATACATACATACTTATACTTGGAATCATATATAAGATAATTACTGAGCATGCTAATATCTCTGAGCTTCCTGGAAGCCAAGTAAAAATGGAACCATGATAGTTCAAGATTGTTTAATATTAATGCATGTAGTCTCAGTGGTGAAAATGCATGTAGCCCACCCCACTTTATTCTCTCACCTTTTTCTTCTTTAGTCTTATAGTTTGGCTAGATTTAATTATTTCAATTGGTATGCTTCCTTGCTCTTTATAACATATCTGATACAAAGAAGCCAATTAGTAACACATAGCAGTTTGAGGAGAAAGTTGTTAATATTTATCAGACTCAGTTCATACAGAAAGATCTTTGGGTTGGATTTAAATTTTTAAACTCTCAAAGGTAAATTTTGCAGATCTCATTAACCAAATTATTACACAAAGCTAAAAGGTCTTTGGGGTCCTTTTGCAACTCTATCCTGCATGAAATTCTGGGACTATTTTCCCTTGTCTTGTCTATTTCCTACTCCCTCCTTGTCTACTCCACTGTCCTCATTTTAAAAACACCCAGTTGTTGGATGAAGGAACTAAAATTTCTTGAAGGGATTACTGATTTGATTGTTTTCTCTCAAGAAGATGAAAGGAAAAGAGCAACAATTTCTAAAAAGTCTGGTTTGACTGAGTCCAGCCCCTAGGCAGATTAAGTCAAGGTTTTTGGCCAAGTGAAATTACCCATTCCTTAAAAAAAAAAAAAAAAAAAAAAAAAAAAGAGTAGCACATTGCTCATTATAGCATTCTAAATTTGCCTGCGCAATCTTTTTGCTACCCTGCAATTTCCTGTTGATTATAAATGAAACCATTCTAGCTGTTAATGGAGGCTGTGAATTGAAAAACACTATGCAATTAATCATAGGAGGTTGGGGGCATTCACTAAACCCGATAAGCCTGAGTATAGGGGAGACACTGGACAAGGCACTAGGACCTAGAAGGCATCGATCCACCCTGGCAGGAATTTCTTGCTTGGAGCTCAGACAACAAAGGCATAGAGAGATTGGTTTTCTTTCTCTCAGCATCTCCACCCTACCAGCAGAAAACCGGTGAGTGGGGCTTTCAAGTTATTTTCAGGAAGAATGTAACAGATGTCAAACGGGAAAAGCACAAGGCAAAGTCTCTCTCTCTCTCTCTCTCTCTCTCTCTCTCTCTCTCTCTCTCCTCTCTCTCTCTCTCTCTCTCTCTCTCTCTCTCTCTCTCTCTCTCTCCCCCCTTGTCTCCTTGTCTGTTTCCCCCCTGCTTTATTCTAGGATTTTTTTCCTTTGGAAAAGTGAGTTTGATATTCTTTTGTTTTCACCATGGTTTTGATTTAGAATAATTCCACCCTTGACACTAGAGAAAAGCCAAGCATTACTAGCACGCCTGGGAAAATGCCTGCTACTTGTCTTGAGGAGGTGGGGTCTCTTACCACTGCAGGTTGTCTAACAGAGACAATGCTGAGCTCAGCACAGGTCATGGTGACATTGGAAGAAAAAGGGGACTGAGCCTGGCAAACCTACTAGGAACCAGTCCTCCTTTATCTCCTGTCCTTTTGGTCCCTTGCAAATATCTCAATGTGGCAGTGTGTAGCAGCTGAATCCTGCCTGCTTTGTGATTCTTTTATCCCCATGTGTGAGATGCATGTTAATAGTTTGTTTCCTAAGCTGTCACTACCTTTGCTAGCTTTTGTGACTCCTCTTGTATTTGGTTTCATGTTTAAATTTTGTTGTTGTTGTTGTTGTTCAGCAGAAGGGGTGAAAGCAAATCTGACACATGACCATCTTTTTTGTCTTGTAACACACCTGGGCAATAGACATGTTTGGGGTGAATTGCCTGCTGTGAAGGCAAAATACCCCATCAGTCAGGGTAGAACTACAGAACAATGAAAGGTGTGCTTGCTTCTAAAGATCCATACATGCTGTTCAGGGACTCATTTGTGAATCTTTTAACAATTAAATGATTCCATGAAGAGGTGGGGCTGCATTGGTAGAAAGGGGGATAAAGCATCTAAAAATAAAAAATAAAAAAATATGTTGTGACCAAATGTAACCAGAGATAATAACTTGTTAAGTAGCTGATTTTTCTAATCCACCACCCCCCAGCTTATTTCTTATGAATGTTGTATAGCTGTACCAGTCTGGTGGGGACAGGGTTTGATGAATAGCACAAAGACACTGGCAATTCCCTGGAGTCTGTCTTTTTAGAGGAGAATCCTAGTTTATTCCAGGGAGGAGGGCGGTATGCACACATTAGAGTAGGAGAGTTTGGAATAAAATTAAAACACTCTCCTTACTGAGATACAGATTGCTTCCTAAACTGGAGATGCTAACCTTGGCTAGCTCCTTCTATTCTCTTCAAGGAGAATTTTGTTAGGCTATGGATTCATTTACAATTGTTAGTCATGTGAGCATGTGTGAGGAAACAGATGCCAGTTTTAATGTATTTAGCCCGAAGTTACAATTTGATAGGAGCCAGTGTCAGTAGGTCCCAGGACTTCAAGCTATTTCAAAATCACTTCCACTCCTCTGTTTGGAAGAGTGCCAAAAGTGCCTCTCTCTCTAAATCTCACCCCAACCCCCACAACCATCAGCACCCCTTTTGCCCCTCCTTCTTCTCTCTTAAGATCAATATTCCTGCAGCTCAGAGGCAAGCAGCAGATGGGACACAGGCTTTTTTCAACCAGTTCTTTTCACAAGCAGCAGATTGCAGATCTGGATCTGGCTAATATTTGATTTTTTTCCTCCCCACTGCTTTTTCTTTGCCTCTTTTCACCCCAACCCTTTTCTCCAACATTCAGGTATCTGAGTTTCCACCAAAATATGGAACTTGATTTTGGACATTTTGACGAAAGAGATAAGACATCCAGGAACATGCGAGGCTCACGGATGAATGGGCTGCCTAGCCCTACTCACAGTGCCCATTGTAGCTTCTACCGAACCAGAACCTTACAGGCACTGAGCAATGAAAAGAAAGCCAAGAAGGTACGTTTCTACCGCAATGGGGACCGCTACTTCAAGGGGATTGTATACGCTGTGTCCTCTGACCGTTTTCGCAGCTTTGATGCCTTACTGGCTGACCTGACTCGATCTCTGTCTGATAACATCAACCTGCCTCAAGGAGTGCGTTACATTTACACCATTGATGGATCCAGGAAAATCGGAAGCATGGATGAACTGGAGGAAGGTAATTCAAGGACCGAGTAGTGGCATTTGGTGGGAGGTAGAATCATTGGTAATGGTTACATTTTTTTTGGATTTCGATGAAAGATTTTAGGAAATATATTTGGTGGATGTTCAGGCTTCTGAATCGATAGGCATCAACTGAGCTGTTATCCATTATCCTTCATGGCCTTCAGTATCTTCTGGGGTGAAGATGTAGATAATGCATTGTGCTTATCCATCAGGGTTTACACAGGAAAATCTGAATTATGCCACTTACTATAGATCTTGATAATTAACTCTAAGTAGCACCGTCAAAGCAGACAATGAAATCTTTAAGGATGTTAAATGAGGAAAGAAGTTTGATTGGGTTAGCAGAAAGAAAATACACTCAAATGTTCTTTGAATTGCTAAGAGACTATTTGTGAATTACAACTTATGGAAATATGCATCCTAAAAGTAGGACTTCTTAGACATGTTCACAAAGGATTATACTTTTAGGTAAGTGGTCATTGCTCAGCTGTTGCTTCTGAAAACACACTTCAGGGTGTGTCCCTAAGGCTGAGGTCATTGAGAGATATATCAAAGAAAGCTATAGCTATTCCTGATATTTTAATAAAGACTATTCCTATTAGAATAGGAACTGACTAACTGTACCTAAATCCTTTTAAATCCTCTTTACATTTTGGTTTTGCAATTGAATGTTATGATTAGATTGCTAAAAACCTGTGTACCCACCCCAAAACAGGAGCCTGGCTTTTACCAAAACTTGCTCATTCATGAACTCTTGTTTTTTTTTTTTTTGGTAGTCATTTAAAAAATAGATCTTGAGGTGTGTTCTTATTACTTTATCAAATAAATTATACTGAGGATGCCTTCCTACCTCCGCTTTTAAATTGGTATAGCATGTATGATCAGTTTAACCTCAACACAATGCTTTAAAGGACTTTGAGGCTTCAAGAAGTGGTGATAATGAAAATGCTCCCACCCAACCTCTCTCCATTCTCCAGCCTTCCCTCCTCCTTCCTTCCATTCCCTGAGTAAAGATGAGTTTACAACGGGCAGATTTCTAGGGAAATCTATTATGAAACAGCCAACAAGGAAGCAGAAACAGTACATTCAATGACTTGGTGTGGGAGTGCCCCACCTCCGCTTCACTGCCTCTAGGTTACTTGTGTTCCTAGACAAAGGAACATGAGGGCTTCCCTTGTGCAAGACCACATTCTTTTAAGTAGCTGCTGCTTCTCAAGTCAGGTAAAGTGATTTGGGGACAGTTTCTTGTAAGAAACAGTGTCCATATGGCTACTGGATCTAGGTCTCAGGGTTCAAGTCCAACGTTTTTCTACATAACTGACCTTGGAAAACAATGCCGAGGAGACTTACATTATTTGATAATGTGCTGGATGGCCAGGCAGAGGTTAATCCTAGGCTTTTCCTGAATATTGAATATTGGCTATCCTAGTGTGTATCTTAAAATAAATAAGAGTCAGGGCAAACTGGAAGAAGGGCTTCAAGCTCAATTGAGGGAGCTGTCCAACAGAGTAATTAATAAAGTGTATGTCTTTTGTCACTGTAAAATACACATCTCAGCTGAATTTGAGTTTTTTTCCTGTAAAAATTTTCACAAAAAAAAGCAATCCAAATCACCCAATATGTCCTCATTTTCACTAGCTACAATCTTATAAAGACAATAATAGACACTACTGCAGACTTCTGAGCCAAGTGACATTGCATTCAGAGCAAGGATTAGAATATTCTTGTGTTTGATATAAGAAAGCAGTCATGTACAAATTTTCTCTCAAATCTACTTTTTAACAGGTCTTGGTATTGATTCCCCAACACCATATTTGTGTGTGTGTGTGATAATCTCAGTTCAGGAAATAAATGTAGTTTTGAAGACTGTAGCTTCTTTTACTCTGTTTCTTTTGAGTCTTACTAGATTGGACTCCTATAATGTACCACTCCTGGGTGCAGTGATAATACTTCCTGGTGAATTACCAAACTATATAGAGTGTGAATATGGCTCAGTTGCATTTATGCATGTCATCTGAACTACAAAAGCTGCAGTGGCCCTTAAAGCCCCCCACCCCCCAGCCAACTATTGAGTACTGTCCATTTAGTCAAGGAGATTCTGGGATATATCTGAAAAATGTGACCAGTTTTTCCACTACCACCGAGCAAAATAGGAAAGGGCATTGGCATGAGGAGGATAAAGAAAAGGGGTCTTTTCCCCTCCCTTTTTGTCCTTTGAAACTACTCATCTAGGAATAGAGGGCAGAAGACTCTCACTTTTGGAAAAAGTTGAATGAAATATTTTTAAAAATCATACACATGGCTTCCCATGAGACTTCAAGATGAAAATGCTTAGAGAGATTCCTGGGTGAAGAATCAAGGGCATTAGAATAAGTCTTAGAGGAATAAGATAATAATGGGAAATGAAATCTTTGGTATCAGATTGGGTTCAAATCCAAGATCTGTCAACAGCTAACTTGTGTGACCATTTTGACTGCCTGAGCCTCAGTTTTTCATCTGCAAAGTGGGAATAACTGCTTTGAGAATTAAATATAACAATGGATATTAAGGGTTTAGTATTCTGCCTGACACTCAGTAGCACTTAACGAAGAGTACCAATTACTCTTTCAGTAATCTTACTTTTTTGCTGGTTAGCTGCATGATCATAGGTTTGTCATTATCATCACTCTGACTAATGTTCTCTTTAAAACAACTCGTATTTAAAACAGAACTTTACTAAGGTATAATTTGCATACCATAAAATTCAGTCATTTATGCATGCAAGTCAGTGATTTTTAGAGAATTTACCAAGTGATTCAACCATCATCATAACCTAATTTTTGACCATTTCCATCAACCTAAAATGAAACCCTATAGGAATTAGCTGCCACTGACTATTTCTCCTATTCTCTCCAGCCTTAAATAACAATGAATCTACTTTATGTATTTACAGATTTTCCTATTATGGACATTTTATATAAATTGTATCATGCACTATGTCCTTTTTTGTGACTGGCTTCTTTCACTTAAAAGAAAATTTTACCATGTATCAATACTTAATTTTTATTGAGGAATAATATTCCACATATGTATAGAACACATTTTATGTATCTACTGTAATATACTTATCTATAAAATGAAACTAGTAACACCTACTTTCTTTATCTATTATGGTAGTTGTGAGAATAAAAATTAGATAATGCATATGAAACACAATGACAAGGTAAAACTACAGATACAAGGTACCAGTATTGTTAATGATGTAAAAATAGTGATGATGATGATGATGATGATAGTGAGGGGTTGGAATGGCCAGTGGTATCCATCCCTGGCTGCCTTTAAGAATCTTTTAGAACTTTAGAAAAAATAGAAATCACTGGGCCACACCCTAGATCTATTGAATTAGAAGCCCCAGGGCTAGGGCTCCAGAATGTATGTTCTTACAAATTTCCCCAGGTGATTCTTATAAGCATTTAGACTTAAGAAATTAAGCGGTCTTGATGTTCCCCTTCAGCTAACTGTAGATTATAGGAATAATATAGCATAGAAAAAACTACATTTCCAAATGGCCATTTTATTAAATATATAGCCTAAAATAAAATGAAAAGTAAAAAGTAACTGTTTAATAATCACTCTGGCCTTGTGGTACTCATTTGTCTAATGCCTTTAGTCTACTGTCTGCTTCTAGATACTGAAAGTAGCAGGGTGAAAATTTGGGACCAACATCAAGTTATTGATGTCAGCTTTCCCACAGATACTTGGTTACACCAAGGGTCTTAGCAAAGTCATATAGAATATGGTACTTATTAGCTGTATTAACAATCCATGAGTGACTTTTTCTTTTGTTTTGCTTAGTCTTCATTGTTGAATCTTTTTCCCTTCCTTCATATCCTGTTCACATCTTTCCCAAAGTTCTTATATGTGATTGTGCAGAAAAACGTTAAGGGTACACATTTTGAGCATTATTACGCAGAACATGGGATAAAATATTGCAATCGAGATAGTCGTTTTAGAAAATCTGGGTTGTGTAGTAACCCTATCTATTATGCAGTTTCTTTGCCATAGCTCATTTATTCCAATGAGATAAAAACACCTCCTCACTAATTTATCCTATGACTACTAAAGTAAGCACATTGCCAAAGAGGAGAATTTTAGGATACCTGGGAAAGATGCATCATTAATAGGTGTGAAAATATAATAAAGTACAATTTAATATGTTTATTCTTGAGTAATGAAGCCCCCCAAAAAAGGGAAAAGCCCAAGCAGAAGTGGTTTTACACTGAGAAAATATAAATATAAATGTTTAATGTTTTTGAAAATGGATCCCTCCTAAAAGTGAAGTGAAGGGAGGTAGACATTAGATCATCTTGAGCCCACAGCTTGTTCCCTTTCTGCCTTTCCAGCTGTACTTCCATGACTTAATTTTTTTAACCTCTCACACTGAAGCACTTTGTCAATTCCAGCAAGCTTGGCTCTCTGAAGTCAGCTTTCCTTTTAGGCTCCCATTGGGTGGGAAATGGCCCTTGGAAGCTGTGGCAGAATGGGAACCCAGCCATGTGAAGGTTCAGCACCTTATCCAACTCCAAGTGCCAGGCAACTGAATGTGCAGGAAACACTGAGCTCTGGCAGCAAATGTTGCAGACATTTGCAAAACCAGAACAAGGAAGTCTTGGTCTAGAGAAATAGCACATTTGATGTCTTTCCAGTTATAGAATTGGAAAGTCGTCAGTGGTGGGTACCTATTTCTTTAACATTTAATGACCATAATGACTTTGTCTCCTAAAAGTTATTTGGGATGGAAAAAAGAAGAAAATTATTTCTTATAGACATTTAGGCCTGGAAGGGACTCATATGTCACTAAGATAGCTAGAGTTTAGCAAGTGCTGAGCTCAGCACTTTATATATGTCATCTGATTTGTGCCTCAAAACAATCTTATGAGATAAGGATTATTATTATCATCTCCACTTTGCAGACAATTAACTGAAGCCATTGGAGGTTAGGTAACTTGCCCAACAATACACAGTTATGAAGTACTGGGGACCCCATTCTGACTGACGTCACATCAACAGCTTTTTATCCATTACTCCAGATTGGGACCAAAGGAGAGTGAGTGGAGAGATTGAAATAACTTTTAGAAGGTGCTTAACGTAGATTTGGCTGAGGGCTGGACCCTCTGGAAAATTCTTGGATCCCATATGATACTATAGCTCTCTGACATCATGTTCATTTGCATCTGGGGGGGTAATCATTCTCATAGTTCAGAGGCTTAAGAAGTTTAAGAGATAGGATAGAAAAAGTCCAAAGTTCTAATAGGGCTACACAACTGACTCTCCAGAAGAGATGTAGATGAGTGAAATAATAAATATATAGCCTCACACATTTCTACACCACCAGTTGTCTAACAGAATTTTAAAGTTGTATGACAAGTTATGGAAACCATCTGATGTAAAGGCAGTGGCTTCTTGGAATGTGCCCATGAAACAGTGAAGTGCTAAGGTAATAGGCTGTTTCTAGGGTGTGGGGATATTAGCTGTAAATATGTGAGGGAATTACAAGGCTCCTGCTTCATTCTTTTAAGTCACAAATTGAATGTCCTAGACTATAACTTGGGTTGGTTTGGATTAGCCAACAAGGGAGCCATAGAAATTAAGGTTTCTTTTGGCTGAGGTGTTTGACTACCCTATTATGTGTGTGTCTGTGCAACAGGGTACCTCTGCTTGCATACAAAGCAAGAGAGAACACTAGCAGCTTCTGGGACTCAGAGCTGTGTTAGAAGCCACTCTGTATACATTGGCAAACACTTATTCTCCCCCTCCACAAGCACCTATAAATGTCCTCAAAGGAGCCCTAGAGATTCAGACTGAATCTTACCTCAGCATTAACTGAAAAAAATTATTAATTAGCATGACTTAAAGCATTTGGTGCTACAGCAAAGCAATCAATATTTGCCAAAGGAGTGAATTATCAGACCAGTGTTTCTCAATTATCTCTGTGTACTTTTTCTGCTGAGATCAAAGGAAGAAGAGCCATCAGACTATAATTGTGTTTAATGTTTTCCTCACACTGGCTAGAGTTGGTTTATTATTAATTAATTAATTAATTCATTCATTCATTCATTTAGAGTTATTACTAATAGGTTAAGCTTGATTAAATCAGACTGGTTTTCTGCAGATTGACCTCTGGATGAACTTCTGTATACCTTGAGGCAAATGTGTTTTACTCAGCAAATTCAACCTTTTCCAATACTCTATCCCCCAGGTTGAGTCTACCTCTCTTCTTTTTTCTAGTTTCTAGTCCCAGGTGCCTAATACCCTCCTTTTGCCTCTGGCTCCTGTGTTTTTTCCGCTGTATTAATCATTTCCTCTAGCCCACGGTACATGTGAAAATTACACTAGATCCCTCCAATCCATAAATCGGGCTATATAATACATCCTTACATCTTCACCTCATTACTTGCAGCAGCCAAGGTTGAGCACTGGTGAAGACAGCCCTGAATACGCAGTGCAGCATTTGGAAAGATAGAAAGATGAGGGATGGGTGGTGGAAACAAGGAAGAGAATTCTCAAGCAAGAGCTATGACTTGCAGACACAAGGAATGTTATTTCTCTCTTCCTCTGTGTGTGTGTGTGTGTGTGTGTACAGGTTGTTATTCAGAAAGTTTCTCCAGCTAGGTGTGGCAGTGAGCAATAGAGGATACAATTATGCCACATATATACTTTCACCACATGTATATTTTTCATTTTAATATTCTACTGCTTAGCCATGTGCTCTGTGAAAAGGGCATTCTGACATCTTGGCAAGTATTGACTATATGTCCAATATGCAAGGTTACTTGGGTCACTTTAATTTGGAAAAAAAAATGTATAATTTTGAAAGTTCTCCTTGGTTTATAATACAACAATGGAACAGGGATATGAGTCCAGAAACAAGGAGGAACATTAAGGAAGAGAGACATGTGAGAAACACTTTAGTAATGCCCCTAGATGTTAACAAACATCCTAGAAATGAACATAAACCTTTCAATTCTAATAAAATCATATCAAGCTTAAAAACCCTACTTGTTAGATTATACTTAGGTGTGTTCATTGTCCTGGGGACCCTTAGTTTTATAGGCTTTTTCAAATGGGTATACCATTATAATATAGAATGTTTTTCTGATTACTTGCTCTTGAATTTGAATGAGCCAAGTCGTTAGAGAGCCTTATTAGGAATTATACCTAAGGTTGGTTATTATCACCATTTCTCCAAAGGTCATAGTCCAAGATTAGTGTATATTAGTTTTGTTAGAATAGTCCATATACCTGTTGTTAAACTAATCACCACTTATTTCTTCCCTCAGGGGAAAGCTATGTTTGTTCCTCAGACAACTTTTTTAAAAAGGTGGAGTACACCAAGAATGTCAATCCCAACTGGTCTGTCAATGTGAAGACATCTGCCAATATGAAAGCCCCCCAGTCCCTGGCTAGCAGCAACAGTGCCCAGGCCAGGGAGAACAAAGACTTTGTGCGCCCCAAGCTGGTGACCATCATCCGCAGTGGGGTGAAGCCTCGGAAGGCTGTGCGTGTGCTTCTGAACAAGAAGACAGCCCACTCTTTTGAGCAAGTCCTCACTGATATCACTGAAGCAATCAAACTAGAGACCGGGGTTGTCAAAAAACTCTACACTCTGGATGGAAAACAGGTAGGTTTTTTTTTTTTTCCCCAGGCTACTTTTCTTCTCATTTATTCTAAATCCTTGGATGACCATCTTATACATCAGGCATCATTTCTGGTTGGAGGACTCTTTCTCCACCTCTCATAATTCCTATCTGATATTTTATGCCTCATTTTAGAAGAAAGGGTTTTTTAGCAGACAAATCAATGGACCAAGAATCTGACACTTCTGACTTACCAAGTAAAATGATCACTTAGCCTCAGCTTTCTTAACTTATAAGAAAAGATGTGTTAGAACTCAGGTCCTACATTCTCATGTATATAAATTTAGCTTTATATGATACAACCTTAGTTGTTCAATGCATGCAACTGGAAATGAGCTTTCCTCAGTTACTTATTCTTAGATACCCTCACATTGGGGTTCAGTATTTATTCTGTTGAAAGGAGGTTGAGTGACCATTGTATTCTATAAAAAGGGTCAGATCTGGGAGAAGAACTGAAATTTCTGTTTAATTGTCTTTGCCTCACACTATACCACATTTTTGCTCTCTTCCTTTTCCATGTGACATAGCTATCTTATTTTGGTTCCAGTGATGAAACCATCAGTAGAACCAAAATAAGATAGCTGTGTGAGAAAGAAACTGTTTCAGTATCCTAAAATTAGTCCAAGAAAGATGCTGCCATCTGTTCTCTTTCCAAATCAGGTTCTTCATGTCATTGGTTATGCTACTAAAGTACCACCTATATTAATATCTGGGAAAGAATGCAGCCAGGCGTCTCCATCAGACAGGTGCACCATTCTCTTGAGCACAGGGAGCTGTAAATATATGACAAAAAATGTTCCAAGGGAATTGGAACAGTGGTTGGTTCTGTTAGCTGTAAAGAGAATGCTGGTCCTCTATAAGAGAAGACAAGTGTGGATTATTATCAGTCCATACTTTTTACCTCATAAAATACTTTAGTGTTTGAACAAAGGGGCTGATCACACCTGCCCTACCCATGCTCATAGGATTCTCATGAGGATTAAAGGAAATCATGGATATAAAAGCTCTCTGTAAATTAAAAGACATGATGTAAATATGTATGTATACAATGAATCATTAAATGAGATAAATATGTAAATTGCCAGAAAATGTACATATATATCAATTAGTGTTAGCTCTTTTCCCTTTACTTTACCTCCATCATTCTTAGATTGAATTTTCAATGTTTTTGTGGAGACATATCATACCTTAGCATACTGTGGATACTCCTAATAATAAATAAATGAACACTTCAACCTCCTAGGTAAGCAAGTTCCACTTCAGTGATGGGTGGATTTTTATCCTACAGCAGTCCACACAGAGTGGTAATCCCTCTCCAAATACTTCAATCATTGGCTTCTATTTCTTCAGAGAACAAGTGACAAAATGCCAGTGTATCATATGGTGTGTGTATAAAAACTCCAAGGAGCAGTGTTCAAGGGAGCAGAACAATACCTTGTCAAGCATCAGTGCTACTGTTGATACTGTTCCTGCTCTTTAAAATGTCTCTCTCTGCCTACTCCTACCCCTGGGAATTATCTTTTAAGGGCTGGTTCTTGTTATGTTATCTCCAAAAACTCTATCTTCACTATGCAAAATTAAAGCAATCTTAACTTTTTTTTAATGCTTAGCTTCTAATACATTGTCGATGCTCTATAAATGTTGATTGAATGAACTGACATAAAGAGATTCTCTCATAGCCCAGGTATATGTTGCGAGATGTTCTGAGAGGCCCTCTGCTTTCAGTGCCCCAGACACTTTTTTTAGGTTTATCTGAAGAGATAGGGACCTTCCAAAGAGTGGCTATTCTACCCAGGTGGCTTCTATCACTTACTTACATGGAAGTCATAGAGGGCAGACTTTTAAAGCAATATTTCCAAAGTATATTCTAAGAACTGTCTCTCCCTTCCTGCCCCTAGAAACTCTTAATAAAAGGGTTCTTTGGTTAAATAAGGCTGTAAAATTATGCAAATTATGTGCTTTTCTTAGAGATACATAGTGCGTATTGGCATATATTTTTTATCCTCACCTGAGGACATTTTTGCATTTATCTTCAGATAGAGCGGGAGGGAGAGAGAGGGGAAGAGAGAGAGAGAGAAAGAGCAATGTGAGAGAGACACATTGACTGGTTGCCACCCACACGACCCCAACCGGGGCCAGTGACAAACTACAACCTAGGTACATGCCCTTAGTGGGAACCGAACCCGGGACTCTCTGGTCTGCAGGACGACACTCTAACTGCTGAGCCAAACCGGCCAGGGCTGTATTGGCATATTTAATGTTCTGAGAAGTCCTGCAGAAAGGAAACCCATTTAATTTAGTTCCAGAATTTTCCAATCTTATTTAACCACAAATATCTTTTATGAAATATATAAATGAATATATATAGTAGAATATATATTATAATATATATATATAATGGATTATTTATACACATATATATTCTGAAGAACACACTAAAAAATGCTGTTTGTAAAAGATGCTGAATGATTAGGAACTAATTATCCTAACCTCACTGATAGGATTGGTATGTATGGGATAACCCACAAATTAAACATTGTTGTGTGGTTACAACAGGGCCATTAAATAACAATGTTTGGGGGTACAGGGACAAAACTACTAATTACAAAATAGGTTCTAAGTATGCTGAAAGTTGGTGCCAAACTCAAAAATTGGATTCCCAGCCCATTTCCCAATTCTAGTGTTGACAGCTTTAATGTTAACACCTGTCAGTCACTTTGATTACTGGTGTGTATTCTTACTACTTAGGAATATGATCTTTCTCTATGATGGCTGAAGGCACATATGTTGCAATGGCTTGGACTTGCTTGAATGAGATTCCATTTAGCCTGTCTTTTGCTAAATGTGGCACCAGGCAGAAAGGACAAAATATGGTCAAGACTATTTGTTATTAAATGTTTAACATAAAATCCAGGCCATCACTTGGTTTCTGTTTTGCTCTAACTGGATCCCAGGTAAACCAGAACAAGTGTTTTTCTCCCTCTTTGTTTAAAACAGCCCAGTTAATTATACCAGATTTATTGTTGCTTCTGTTCTCATGTGTCCACCATTTGACTGATTGGCTTACACTGATCGACAATCTGCAGACATAACTTGCATCTCTTTCTGTTTTTATTTAGTTTGGATGTGCTTCTGGAGCTCTTGGTCTTTTTAGGGCTTATGTTTTGTTGATATAGAAAACTGATTTTCTGATTTATTTTACCTGAGATATTGTGGTTTGTATAGGCAGGAAGCTAACCATCACCAGTAGGAAGGACTTTCAATTTGTTCCTCACCTCAATAAGAAGTTGCTAATGTAATTATGAGTAGTTGGTAGGGTTCTAAATACTCCCATGGCATATAATGGATTTCTTCATGGTCAGGGAAAGCATGGTGAAGGGTTGGATGATGACGTATATTAGTTCACTCTCAGCTGAAATTGTTCTTTTGATTCCTTGGCAGCTGGAGTGGTTGTGGTATGTTGACAAAATTATCCAACTGTTGATTTCTATAATCAAGCCAGATATTGACCTTTATGCTTAAAGGTCATGGATGCATTAAAAACTGGAATTCAAATGTCTGGTTCACTTGCTAACTCCGTAGATACATGGTATAGCCTTAAATTCATTTCTGTAAAGCACAGAGCATGGTGCTTGTGTTAGTGATGCAGAGCTTTAACAATAGATTTCCAACTTTTTGTCATCTTACATGGGCATACATCATCCATTTTTAATGCTCTACTTATTGGCAACTCTAGTCTCAGTTTTGTCCATATCCAGGATCTATGCAGTCAAACATTCACTATTTTCTCAAGATAAATACCCAAGGGATAACTGTGGCCTTTAGTTTTTGTGTTAGCTTTGTTAGAACAATTTTTAATTAGGTGAATTTATTTCATGCTTTTATCAATATCCTTCTGTTGCCAAACTACTTGGGCTAGGAATGTTAGCTCTCAGAATAACAAAAAAAGAGGTTTGAGCTGATTCCAAAATTACCAATATCCTTGAAAGCTAGAACAGGATATTTAAGAAATGTTTTGAATCATATGAAGGTGGAATAGGAAAATGAGAGCACAAAGGATGTTTGAACAACTGCTAAGTATTTCAGGAAAGACTTGCATCTTCTACCTTGCTATACTAAATAACTGGGTGCTGCAAGCACGAAGGAAATTGCAGAAAACACAGGAAGATAAGTTTAATTTAACCTTGGAAATGTTGACTGCTTTTCCCAAGTTCTTTACTGTGACTGTGTAAGCTGGTTTTTCTCTTCCTCCATTGTCTCTGCTTCCCTCGTCACATCTGGTCTTACTTAGACTCTCTGGCCTCCAGCTTTCCAAGAGCCAAACTCTCTCTCCTCCTAATGTTATGACCTTGTCAGTCAATGTTGGGCTCAATAGGAAAGGCCACGTGACTATAAATTATGCGCCGAGAGAGGTCAGTTATCACTAACCTGCCTTTGAGAAAATCAGTCTGGAAAGGTGATATTTGTATTACTGAAAGTTCCACCCTTCTCTCTACCCTCCTGCAATCTTCAACAGATTTGAATTCTGGAGACAGGCTTTAAGAGGAGTGGCTTATGCATGAAATTGAAAAGAGCAGAGATGGGAAGCCAGGTTGGGTCCTGTGAAAGTAGATAATTTACAAATTCCCTTGCCATATGTAGAGTACACTTCAAGGTATCTCATACTGAAGTAGATTTTGTATTTTTAAAAAGGGCTTATGATGGAGATGTTCAAACATCAAATATCTTGTCCTTTTGGAAAGAGAAAAAAGCTAAGTGTAGCCTGGTTATGGGTTACTTCTTAAAATTAACTTTTCCTCTTAAGAATTTTATTGCTGCTGAGACACTTTTGGCTCAGAATAGTGATAGAGGTGGGATTTGGCTCTTTCTATCAAAAGCTCTGGCATAGTATGCCACACTGATGAGTCTTTTGATATCCAACAATAAGCATATAGAAAAAGACCTATACAGGGATTTAGAGACATGAGTTCTCGTCTTCACTCTG